TGTAAGGGCTACATGAAATCAATGATGTTGATGTCTTGTGAGCAAATAAGCTATATCAGTTAAAAAGAGAAGATGTCCTCAGATCTATTTAAGACAAGGTTTCTCAGAGAAAAATATGTATGCTATTCAAATCATGAATTCTTGTTATAGAAATTTAAAATATTTTCATTTTAAAGGTGTTGTTAGTATTGACTAATTTGGAAGGACCTTCACATTTTTCAGCTATGTACATGAGTTGGTCTGAATTTTCCTTTTGTTGTTGTTGTTGAGGTATCCCATATCATATCTTTATTAGAATTAATCACACTAAGAATACTTTCCACCCTTAGACATTCAAAGAAGATAATTCAACTTATAGGACATAATTCAAATATGAAAAAAAATCATCCTCTCACATGTTTTACATTGTTGAGTGGCTTTTAAATTGTATATATTTAAGGTATACAACTTGCTATTTTGTTATAAATATACATAGTAAAATGATTGCTGCCATTACGAAAATTAACCCATCCATCACCTGCCATAATTACCTTTTTTGTGTGTACGGTAAAAGCACCTAGTATCTATTTTCCCATCAAAATTTTACTTTACAACATTATTAACTATAGTCCTCATGCTGTACATCAGATCTTCAGACTTACTTATCCTATGTAACTGCAAGTTTATATGCATTGACCTGCTTCGCCCCATTTTCTCCCTCTCCTCGTCTCTCATAACCACTGTTCAACTAGGCATTTTTTAAAAATTCCACATATAAGTGAGATCATGCAGTATTTTTCTATGTCTGTCTTATTTCACGTAGCATAGTGTCCTCCAGATTCATCCATGTTGTTCCGAATGGCAGTATATCCTTTTTCAAGGTTGAATTATATTTCTGTGTGTGTGTTTATGAATCATATATACGTATATGTATGCATATGTATGTGCACACATATGGACACATATATATATCACAATTTATTGATAGATACTTATGATGTTGTTTCCATATCTTGGCTATTGTGAATAATGCTGCAACAAACATGGGCGTGCAGATATCTCAATATACTGGATTCATTTTCTTTGGTTATATACCAAGCAGGAGATTCCTGAAAGTTCTAGTTTTAATTTTTTGAGGAACCTTCAAACTGTTTTCCTTAATGGCTGTACTAATTTACATTTCTACCATCAGTGTGCAGTTTCCTTTTCTCCACATTCTAACCAGCATTTGTTATCTGTTGTGTTTTTGATAATAGTCATTTTAACAAGTGTGAGATAATATTTCATTTTGGTTTTGTTTGCATTTCCCCAATGGTTAGTGATATTGAAAATCTTTACATATATCTGTTGGCCATTCTTATGTCTTTGGAGAAATGTCTATTTAGGTCCTTTGCCCCTTTTAGAATCAAGTTATTATTATTTTGCTAATTGAATTGTGTGAGTTCCTTATATATGTTGTATATTAACCCCTTATCAGATACGTGGTTTGCAAATTTTTCTTCCAGTCCATAGGCTGTATTTTTTGTTGGTGGTTTCCTCTGCTGTACAGGAGCTTTTAGTTTGATGTAGTTCTACTTTGCTTTTGTTTCTCAAGCTTTTGGTGTGATAATTCAAAATATGACTATGACCGATATCAAGGAGCTTTTTCTCTGTGCTTTCTACTAGGAGTTTTGTGGTTTCAGATCTTATGTTTAGGTCTTTTATCTCTTTTGAGTTTGATTTTTGTGTATGGTGTAAAAGTCTGGTTTCACTGTTTTACACATGGATATTCAGTTTTCCCAGCACCATTTATTAAAGGGATGATTCTTTAGTTATTGCATGTTCTTGATGGCCTTGTCAAAAATTAATTGAACATGCATACTTGGGTTATTTCTGGGCTCTCTGTAGTATTCCTTTTGTCTGTGTGTCTGGCTTTATGCCAGTATCATACTGTTTTGGTTACTGTAACTTTAAAATGTAATTTAAAATTAAGAAGTGTGATACCTCTAACTTTGTTTTACATTGTCAAGATGATTTTGGTTATTCAGGGTCTTTTTTGATTCCCTGCAAATTTTAGAATTATTTTTCTCTATTTCTGTGAAAAATGCCATTGGAATTTTAATAGGATTGCACTGAATCTGTATGTTGCTTTAGGTAGTATGGACATTTTAACAATATTAATTCTTACTATCCATGAACATGGGATATCTTACTGCTTAATTCTGTCATCTTCAGTTTCTTTAATTCGTGTTTTATAGTTTTCAGATCTTTCACTTCCTTGGTTATATTTATTTCTAGGCATTTTATTCTTTTTACTCCCTTAGCGATGGTATAGTAAAAGGGGGCTGGGAAGAGGAGTGGTGGCTGGGAAAGTGGGAGCACATAAATAAGATTGTTTTCTTGGTTTCTTTTTCAGCTAGATCATTATTTTTGTGAAGAAATGCATCTGATTTTTGTATGGTGATTTTGTAAGGTGTATCCTACTTTACTGAATTTGTTCTTTTTCGTTTGTTTTTTGTTGTTTTACTTTTTGTGGCATTTTAAGGGATTTTTTTTTAACATACAGGATTATGTCATCTGTATGTTAAAAAAAAAATAAGGAATAATTTTATCGTCCCCTCTTAAATGAAATGATTTTTTAAAGTTGCTTGCCTTTGTTTTAAAATCATTGTGATTCATTTTTCTGTTACCAAAGCTGTATGTGTTTACTGTAGAAAACTTAAAAATTGTAGAAATGTGGAAGGAAAACTTGTTAGACTTACCATGAAGATGCAGGCAATCTATTTTTTATTTTATTTCAGTGTGTATTTAATACAAACTTTTTTTTCCAGAATCTGATCATATAACATGTTTGAGTTTATATTCTGCCTTTTTTCCCTTAATGCTGTAACAAATCATTTTTCATATTATTTCATATTCATCATTAATATATTTTAAATGACTACTTCATATTATGACTATGACAGATATACTAGGATTTCTTAATTTTTCTTCTGTCAAATACTGGGTTTTTTTCTAGTATTTTCCTGTTATATTGTAATAAATATCTTTGTGTATATATACTTAGATGCTCAGTAAACATTTATGCATTATGAATGAATGAATGAATGAATGAAACCTTCTTAGGATTTAGGGTTATTCCTCCAGAGGATGATTACTGTGTCAAAGGGTATAAACCAAAATAAGACAAAACATCTTGTATAGTTTGATAAATGGCTTTCCAAAATCATTTTGGGGAATACACACAGAAATGCAAAGGTTGCATTCAGAGGATTTCGTAGCTTCTGCAGAAGGATGTAACACTACTATTTCAAAAATACATTCTTTAATAACTAGGTAATTAATTACTTTGGATTTTAGGAGACTAGTAAAAATCCCAGATATTTTTGTAATGTTATAGTGATCTCTCTTTTAAACTTTTGTATTACATTAGTGTACAAATTAAACAAGCTTTTGTTATGTGTATTTTATTTTATTATAGAACATGTAGAAGCAATCTGATCAAATACTTAAGCAGTTAAAGAAAATAGAAATAATTCTTATTTGTTAGATAGTTGCCAAGATACGTTGAAAACAAAACCTGCTTCTTTGGAATCAAATTTATTTAAATATTTTTAAGGTTTTGTGAGTCTAGTTTTCTGATTCTTAGTTTGTTTTGTATCCATTTTCATTGTGATCAATTTCTCAGTGAAGTTATCTTTGAAGGTTTTATGTTTTCTAAATAAGAGCAAATACAGAAATGTTTTCCCTCTAGTTAATGTATTCTTTTTTTTTTTTTTTTTTTTTTGGTTTTGTGGTCAACATGACTTTTTAAAAGACAGTATTATGTAGTCAAGTATATTGATACAAATCATATGTATATAACTCCTGCATAACGTAAAGCAAACCTCCTCCATGTTTGTGGGTGTGTAATTTTTTTTTTTTTCATATTTCAGGCTGTCAAATGGAAAGTCTGCATTTATCCATAATGAGACTTTATAAGCTAACAAAAATATTGTTTCAGATGCTACTTAACTTTGATGAGTGAAAATACACAATATTAATACACCATAGAGGTTGGTATTTATGTGGAGAAAATGATAATAGAGACTTGGAGGAGAAAATCTCTGTTAAAAATACTCCAAACGTTTTGGGCAATTCAGAATTAAAACATCATTGTTTTACTAAAATTCTTTTTTAAAAAATTTGTGAGATTCCACAGTAAGGAAGCAAATACTATCTTCACTTGTCTTTTCTAACTTCTGAATCCTGTAGTCTCTGAAACCCAGAAGCAGTTGATAATTGTAGAATTTTAAAAACAGAGTATGTTTAGAAGAACTTTTAAATTTCATTTGATGTATTTTCATGTATTAGAAATGACAATAATGTAAATGAATGACATAAATATTTTGACATAAAAGTATTAACAATGAATTAGACATCTGGACAAGTAAAATGCTAAATTCAATAAAGCAAATATTTATGCAGTAACTTTTTAGACATCTTGAATTCAGTTCATGCAATATTTTTTAAACATTTACTACATGTGAGTTGCTAGGCAAGGTGTTCGTGATATAGGCAGGTTTTATTTTCTATCATGGAGTTTATGGGCTAGCAGGAAATACATATGTTAAGCCAGTAAATATAAGTTTGATGACTAGTACAAAGGAGGAAGTAAATGGAAACCAATAGCAAGGAATTAGAAACTGACAGGCAGAGGAGTTTTCAGATGGAGGAAAAAGCATATGAAAGAGGACAGAGGTGTATCTTTTGAGCATTTCAAAAATTAAGGCACCTGAGATATCCAGGTGGCGATTGTTAGGTTTGTAGCCTGAGACATGGGAGAAAATTATAGACTAGACATTGAGGTTTGGAAATCATTGAGATTATAATTTCAGGCATGAGAATGGAAGAAATCACTTAGAAGATATAGAACTCCATGAATGCTAACATTTAAACGGCAAGTAGAATTGTAGGAGCTTATGACAGTGATTGGAAGGAAACAGCCAAACACCAAAGGAAGAGAGCATTTGTTAGGGGTGAATCATGTCACATGTTGCTACTTAGGGGCAGAGAAAGAAGATAATTCTCACAGCCATGAAGTAAGTGCTAGTATTTTCCTGTTAAGTAGATCAAGAAACCAAAACTCAGTGATTAAGCATCTTTCTTTAAATTGGATACTAGAAAGTGATAGTGCCATAATTTGAACCCAGGTCTGTCTGACTCCATAGCCTGAGCTTATAATCACTATATAGTGTTAAAAAATGAATTTAGTGACATGGAGATCATCGCTGATCACTTTGTGGGACAGGAGAAGAAAATATTTCGAGATGAAGGGCAATATTGAATGCTATTTGAGAGGTCAGAAAAGAGAAGAACAGATATGTGACTATTGGATTTCGTAAAGTGGACTTCTCTGATGACCTAGACAATAATGATTTCAATAACAATTGAGAGGAGGAGAAGGAAACCTGATTGAGGAAAATTGAGTAAAGAATATGAGGTGAGAAAGTGGAAGCAATGATACAGGTAACCCTTTCAAAAAGTAGGGAAATAGGGCAGTTGATATAGGGGAATGTGGATTCAGTAACTGGAGAGATTAGAGGAGGTTTGTATGCAGATGTTACAGATCCATGGGAAAGAAAATGATACATAATGGAGAGGGTTATATTAATACACTTCTTGAGAAACTGAGATGTGAGATTTAGAGAATCTCTGAATGGAAAAGTTGGATTGATTGGAGTGGGAACATTTAATTTGTCTTCAGTAGAGAAAGAAGAGTATGGGTCAAGGTAGGTGGTTTTGATGGTGGAAAGATAAAGTTATAATGGTCTGATTGATTCTGTTTTCTCAATGCTGCAGTCATGAGGTTGGGAGAATGGGGCAACCCTAATAGGTTTGAGGACAGAGAACAAAGAGTGAAATAGTTAATCTTGGATATTGGACAAATGAACAAACTAGGTATTTTAGGGTATTTTACTGATACTACACAGTGCTGATTGCCCAATTGTGATATGTGATCATGAATTTAAGATAAGAACTGTTGACAGGTTGTATATTTTTCTTCATCTATTTTTAATTGCTCAGGTGCGCATGTGGAGTAGGTGGATGACTGGGTTTAATCACAGTTTTATCTTTGTCGGGTGTTTTCAGTGAAAGGGGATAAGAAAAAGAGGTGTGCCTATGTCTACAAAAGAGTAAATTTTAGTAACTGACCCTGGAATCCAAATTGGGCCAGGTGGAAAGTCAGGTTATTGGTTATGTGTGTTTGGGGGCAGGGTGGTGAGTGATGGAGAGGGAGAAACTATCTAGAAATATAGCTGGAACCTAGCCATAGTCTCTGATATGGTTAGGCTCTGTGTCCCCACCCAGATCTCATCTTGAATTATAATCCTCTCAATCCCCATAATCCCCATATATCAAGGGAGAAACCAGGTGGAGGCAACTGAATCATGGGGGTGGTTCCCCCATGCTGTTCTTGTGATAGTGGGTGAGTTCTCAGGAGATCTGATAGTTTTATAAGGGGCTCTTCCCCGCTTTGTTTGGCACTTCTCCTTCCTGCCATCTTGAGAAGAAGGTGCCTTGCTTCCCCTTCACCTTCTGTCATGATTGTAAGTTTCCTGAGGCCTTCCAGCCATGCTGAACTGTGAGTCAATTAAAACTCTTTCCTTTATAAATTACCCAGTCTTGGACAGTTCTTAAAAAGCAGTATGGAAATGGACTAATACAGCTTCCCTAGAGGTTTGTAAAGGAGCCTCACATATATGCATTATTTTCCAGGATCACTCAGGAACTTTTAATTTGAATGTTCAGATCTTTGTGGCTTGATCAGGTGTACAGTTTATGCTTTAAGACAAAGAAGTGGATACCTGTAAAACTTGAAAGCTGATCTCTTCTGAACCTTTACCCTGCATCAGCTTGGAAACTGAAGTGGTCTAATTATATGAAGATTTATTCTGTATCCTAGGAGTTCCCAGTGTGTGTCCAGTGGCTACTCCTTGATCTCTTGCTTCCTTGGTTGATAATATACCCAGCATCTGCTGGAAATAGTGGAGTATTAATTTCATGTGAATATTTTATATGTTGTTTGAATTATTAGCTTTTAGACATCAGCGGTGATTTTCTGAATTGCTCTTCTGAATCTAGTGTTCTGATTTTGAGGGTAGTATTATAAATTTTGCCTTCAAGACAAGGTAAAGATGTCTAGATTAAGTTTTCTTATGAATAAATTGCATTATTGAATATTGAATCTAGTCGCAGTTATTTTGGCCATAAAAGGAGTTGACAAACACCCTTTTCTCCTGGCATAGTTTAAATAAGATTTTAAGCATGTTTACAGTGTTAGTTACTGTGTGAATACTTAAATATGTCTTTAATGGATTGTGAAGATTATAATTTTTTCAGATTTTTTCTTTCCTTTATATGATAATTATTTAAAGCAAGTTAAACTTATGTAAAGAGGAAGAATAATTGTAACTATATACAGTGTTTCTCAGAACAAATTGTTGGACACTTTTGGCTATTTTGATGGTATTGGGAAAGGGAAGATTCTTCTATTAAGTTTTTATATAAAATCTTCTCTTTATTTTTGTTTTTCACAGTTTCTCAACTGTCCTTAATACTTTTGATCCAAAACTGCAACCTTTCAGAAATGTCATGTCCATATTTTTAAAAACTAAAGTGCTTTAAGGATTTAATCAGATCCTCAAGTCTTACATCACTGGACTTATTTGGAAATGTGGCTATCCTAAGATGCCTACTGATTATGAGTCTGATTTGTGTGTTTTCTTTTGGGTATTTAGCATCAACTCAGCACCATTAGTTCTGTGTTTTTGGTCTGTATCTGGATATATTCGAGGATCTGCTGAAGACAACTGTTCAGTTAGTGTACAGGGAACAGTCAGTTGTAGTTATTTTATCATATGTTGGAGAATGATGTTCATAAGGCAGTAGGAATATACCATAACTAGGGCCATAGATGAACAAAGGGATAGAAACAGGGTTGATGAAGCAGTGTTGTCCTTTATCTCACCGATTATCCTACCCTTTGCTACCAGCACAAAAAAGAGACAGACAGGATTAATATAATCTAATTTTTTACAAACTCTTTTAACTTGCTTGTTTCATAAATATTTGATTCTTAAGTATAATCAATGAAGTAGCAAATTATACAAAATTTTTAAAAATATATCATATTTTAAGCTTTTAAAAATTGGTTGACTATTTGGAATTTATATAAATTTTTATACAGTCAGTAACTGTGCTATTATGACATCAGTGAAACTGTATATTTGTTGTGATTGTTGTGGATTGTTAAACATGTATTTCACAAATTATATACTGGTTGAAGATGAAATGTAATAGTAAATGAGTATGTAGAAAGAAATTCTTGTTTATAAATTTCATGTTTAAAGAATCTTGATTTTATCTTTTTAAAAATTCTTTTATACTTTTCTAAAATTATATAGTTTACATTGAGGGAAAATCAGAAAATGTAAGAAAATTCACTTACAATTCTACCTAGAGGTAATCACTTTGAGTGGCATATTTAATTAGCATATATCTTTACAGATCTGTCCATTGTAAACTAGTTTTCTTTCCTCATAAAGCATTATATTGTAAACAACATCTTTTATTGTCAGTAAATGAGCTTCTACTCAGCAACATCATTTTAAATGACTACGTAGGATTCTGTTGTTTTTATGTTCTATTTCTTATTTCTTTTTTTGGTAAATATAATTTATTTCTTCAAATAGTTTTTCAGTAGTACATTTTCCTTTAAAGCCATATTTAAAATACTAGATACTAACATGTTGACTAAAGTGATGAAATTAGATTTTAGAAATGCTATTCATGTAAATCCTGTTGGAATTCTAGTAATTGCCAAAATATTTGATTTTTATTGCTGGGAGACTTCCTTTTTCAGAGATTAACATGTTTAGACATATAGTTTAGAATGTCTTAAAACTGTGTGAGTATTTATTAATTCATGAGGTCCCTAAACCATGAGATTTTGTTCCTTCCCTTGCCTCCTTTCTTTCTCTTTCCCCCTCTTGGTTTCTTCTTTATAATAGAGTAGATATGAAGTTTCTTTCAGACTTAAAGAAGTTCCACCCCATCCATTATAAAGGGGTAATTTTACCTATATTTAATGTGCCACTACCTCCTTGGTGAGAGCAGTACAATAAATATCCCAACATAATGCCTTTGTTGTTCCCAACAGTAAAATGACGAGAATTGTCCAGGTACAACTTTATTTATGGAATGAGCAAAGGGTTGTGGAATTTTTAGCCAAAAGGGATTTTATGTGTGTTTGTCAATGGATTCTTTTTTTTTTTTTTTCTGCCAATGGGTTCTTAATATGACACTAAAAGCATGAGCAACAAAAGAGAAACGATAAATTGGACTTCATTTAAATCGAAATCTTTCGTGTATCAAAGGATGTTGTCAAGAAATTAGAAGGACAACCTGGAGAATGGGAGAAAACATTTTTAAATTACATAAATCGTATGGGATTTGTATATAGAGTAAATAAAGAACTCTTACAACTCAACAGCAAAAACACACACAGAACCCTAATTTTTAAATTTATTTTATTTATTAATATTTTTTGAGAAGAGTTGCTCTGTCACTGGAGTGCAGTGGCATGGTCATAGCTCACTGCAGCCTCAGCCTTCTAGACTCAAGTGACCGTCCTGCCTCAGTAGAGCTGGGACAACAGGCACCTGTCACTAGGCCTGGCTAATTACAAAAATTGTTTTTGGTAAAGACGGAATCTCACTTTGTTGTCCAGGCTGGTCTTGAACTTCTGGGCTCAAGCTGTCTTCCCACCTAGGCCTCTCTAAGTGCCAGGATTACAGGTGGTCACTAAGTGGCAGCCACTGTGTCTGGCCAGCAACGTAATTTTTAAAATGAGCAAAAGACTTGAATAGACATTTCTCCAAATAGAACATATGCAGTTGGCCAATAAATGTGAAAAGATGGTCAACATCGTTAGTCATTAGGGCAATGAAAATCAGAACCACAATGATATTTCATACCCACTAGCGTGGCTATAATTTTTTTCAAATAAGGAAAATAAATGTTGGTAAGGATGTGGAGAAATTGGGACCTTCATAATTGCTGGTGGGAACATAAAATGTTGCAGCTCCTGTGGAAAACAGTTTGGTGGTTCCTCCAAAATTTGAACATAGAATTACCATGGGCTCTGCAATTCCA